GTTCAGGCTTTCTTATGTAGTAACTAATCTTAAATACTTGTTATAAAGGATAATAGCCAGTTTGTCCTAGATGCAGTGGTCTATTATGAACTTTATGAACTTTATTTTTATCAAATCACCAAGAAATTTAGAACTTTTTGCAATGTATTCCTATGAATTACTCTTCCTCATTAATTGAATTATTAAATAATCCAAGATCTTATTAGAAATCTGTCTTTTCCTCTTACTGCAGTATCTCTTTGAGGATAATCTGAGTTTTATGTTACAATTCACTTCTTAATGTCAGAATAATTTCTATCTAACAATTTCATATAAAAATCAATGGGAAACACTTTTGTATGGTATGTTTATAATTGTATATCCCACCTTGTTAAACATATTCCTGACAGAGAAAACTTCCATTTTGATAAAGCACCAGTGAGAACTCAATCCACTGTTTGCAATGTTACATGTTTTGTGATCAGGAGAATTTTCCACGGACTGGCTTCTGGCTCCATATAGTTCAAATACTACTTCCAGGTTCAGGCATTAGAGGACATGTTCTTGCCACCATGACCCTCAGGTTCTGAATCTATATGTCATGATGATACCTGAATCTGTCAGCTCAATGGCTGCAGGAATATTCCTAGAAGCCAATCCTATACCAGAAGTTAGCAACAACTAGACATGCAGGTGATCGTGGACCACATCACATACCCCTTTAAACGAACTGAAATGTAGGTTCTAAATTTCTTGGTGGTTTGATAAAAATAATGTTCATAAACTTCATGATAGACTGCTACATCTAGGACAAACTGGCTATTATCCTTTATAACAAGTATTTAAGATTAGTTACTACATAAGAAAGCCTGAACTGTCCTGAAATCTTACAGCTCTATTATGAAAAATATTTGCATAGCTTTCTTTTGTAGGCTGGGTGAAGTGGCTCAAGCCAGCATTTTGGGAGGCCGAGATGCGTGGATCACTTGAGGTCAGGAGTTCAAGACCAGCCTGGCCAACATGGTGAAACCCCGTCTCTAGTAAAAATACCAAAAGTAGCCAGGCATGGTGGCACATGCCTGTAATCCCAGCTACAGAAGAATTGCTTGAACTTGGGAGGCGAATGTTGCGGTGAGCCGAGATCGCGCCATTGCACTCCAGCCTGGGCAAGAAGAGCAAAACTCTGTCTCAAGAAAAAAAAAAAGAAAAAGAAAAAGAAAAACTTCAATGTATTTTCAACTCAATTTCCACTTAGGCAGACCCCCAAAACACCCATGGCTCCTTTACCACCTAATTTGAGGGGAGGTGGGGCAGAGAGAAAATTATAATGGAAAGAGACATCAGACTTAATGAATTGTAGTTATAATATCTTACACTTGCATCTTTTATGCAGAACCACATGAACATATCGACAGGGCGCCTCCCAGGGCCTTAGGAGGGCCCTAGACAAGTGAGCTTCATTACCTTTACGGTAAGTCTGCCTCCAGCTGTAGACTCCATAATTTCAGGGGCTGTAAAAGGTCTCTCTAGTATCCCTCCAAAATGCCTCCTTATCAAGTAGAAGGGGGTCTATAATTACACTGTCAGGAATGTATTCCCTTGGTTACAGCATTGTGCCAATGCTAGCTCTCTTTTAAAATATGCTTTGGTAGGGGTATGAGAGGAGGCAGGATATGGAGTCCCTTACATTTTAGTATGAATGCATTCACCAGGGGAAGTTTAGAACTGTAGGAGAATTCTCATGGTTGAAGAATAAAGTATCAAGAAAGAGAGACAAAGGCAAACGTTCTTCGCTTCACATTTTGTGTGTAAAGTGGATGCGCTGTGTTCTACAGCCAAATTTGGGATTACAAGTGGCCTATGTGAGGAGATAGAGTGAAAGAGAACCCCTCTAGCATGCAGCATTATTTTTAGTCACTTTTCAATTATGAGCAATAATAGAAAATAATTATTAATAGTATTAATAGCAATTTCTCAACAAAATCACTTTGCTTGGTAAGTATTTTGGATTTTATTGAGTGCTTTAAGCCACGTGTTGGCGGTGACTTAGTTCAAGCTTAATTAGAGAGACATAATTTTTCTAACTTCCTTTGACTTGCTTCCCCCGCTGCCCTCTGTCCCCACTGCCCAACCTCAGCTTGTTAAGAGATCCTGATTCAGGGACCAGCCTAGCTGAACTCTCCCTACACCTACCCCATCCACCTTGGGAGATTTCCAGGCCACACTCTCCATGAGCTGAGCACTTGGTGATGTGTTTGTGAGAAGGAGAATCTCAGTCCACCTTGCTTCTCTCTCCATTTAGACTCTAAACAGAGGTAGTGGTAAAATCACCTGAGAAAATCCAGGAGCAGAGGAGTGGAGACTGAAGAGGAGAGCCCACGTTGTGAGGAGCGAGCGGCTGGCAGGTGAGTGTTTATCTCTCTCTGAGCTGACTCTGAGCTTTCTTTTCCCCATGTAAATGAAGCAAGGGAGGAGAAGGCCCCCAGAGTATAGACAGGGCCCAGGCTGCCTTTTTCATAGCAGCCATTTTCTGAAAAGCTTCTTCAAAAACTCCACTTTGATAACCCCAGTGCCTGAGCAAGTCACATTGGAACTCTCTGTGAAGAGGCAGACTCTCAGCCGGCTGTGTGCAGTGTCTTTGAGAAGAGAATAAAAACCCTGGGATATTGGATAGAAATTAGGCTGTCGAACACACAGCCCAAGGTCTCCAGGAATAGAAGAAACATGGTGGAGTTTGACAAACTGGGTGAGCATCCTGTGGTCACATTCGCATACTGTGTGCCTTTGGGCAAGCTGCTTAGCCTCTCTCTGCCACAATTCCCCTATACGGAAGTGGGAATGATAATTCCTATCTCGTCATTATGAAGATTGAAAATAGTGCCCATAGCGTTTTCAGCATAGTGCCAGACATGCTGGAGATGCTCAAAGAGGACTGGGTTGGCAGGAGGGACAGATATTTGGTTGAAAAAATGTGCCCTGAGCTTCCTCCACATGAGAGGTACTGAGCAAACCCTCAGGGAGGAACTCAGATGTGTGGGGGAAGGTTTTCAAAGTTTGAGGAGGAAACAAGCTATGTAAATACATGACTACAATAGTGAACAGGTGGCCTCCAGGAGTGGAGAGTCAGCGGCTTTGGAAAGAGAGAGCTAAAAGGCATGTCCTCATATCAGGCAGCTTGGGGAAAATGTTGTGTCTGGGTTAGGCCTCGAAGGAGGAGTTTTGACCGGAGATTATGGTAGAAAAATACATCATGTAAAGGGGAAAGTATGAGCAAAGAAGTAAGGGGGTAAAAACCTGAAGACTTTAGAGAAGAACTAATAGGTTGGAGACTAGGATGCCTGTGACATACGTGAAGAAAACTGGAAGGTAACAAAGCTGTCCATGAAGCTAGAAGGTAAGTTAAGGCCAGAGGGTTTGCGTGCCTTGAATGTGCAGCTTAAATGTTCAGAATTCTCCAAAAAGCAAAGAGCCATTGCATGTTGTTGAGTACATACTTTGGAGAGACGGCTCCACTTTTCAGAGTAGCCAAGTACCCCCAGAGCAGGTGCCTGGCCCAGCCATCTTGTTTCATCAGAAGAACAAGGGATGTGGCCACCACTGAACAGGGAAATGAGGGAGGGCAGGCAGGCAGGGAGAAGTACTAGTGAGTTACACCGTTATAAATACACTTTAGGGCCGTGTGACTTGGCCATAAATTGCCGCACTGTGCTCAGGTGATGTCACCCGACGTTCGGCTGTATTTATAGCTTTGTTCACTGTTCCCTGGGATTTTTTTCTTGGCACATTCGAGGTAATAAGTGTCTCCCCCACACACACTCATCCTGAACAACAGAAGATAAACTTTTATGCCACTTCTGCTTGTCTTCTCCCAGCTCCTTGGAAGGATGATTTCCTGGACTTATCAAGTGCCTGCTTAGTTGAGAATATTCTCCTGCAGTTCAATTGCTAGCCCCCAGGCTTTGTACTCTGAAATGGAGCTCAGGCTCCTCTCTACTCCAGGAAATCCTTTGTGGAACCCAGAATCAGAAATATCTCCCTTTTTGCTAGGCACTCTGGTAACAACTGTGAACAACAACAGTACAGGCTCTACCTGCACAGGGCTTATGGTCTAGCATGGGAAACAGACACTGAATACTTAGTTAGAAGGGAGATGAATGTTACTAGTGGAAATAGAAGGTTCTTGAAGGCAATAACAAGGTGATCTAGCTGTCTGGAGGAATTAGAGAGGCTTCCATGAAGAAGTGGCATTTAGTGTGAGGTCTGAGGGATGAGTAGCACTTAGCTTAGGGGGCGAGGTTGGAGTAGAGCCCTGGGAGGAAAAAACATTGCAGGCAAGGGAACCCCATGTGCCAAGACCCCAAACAATGAGAGAAATATGGTCAGTCCCTAAAACTTAGTGAAGCCTGGTGGAGTTGGAGTATAAAGGATAAGAAGGGGAGTGGAGAGCAGTGGGGTTGGGAGGGAAGGCAAACGTACTCCAGGCAGGCTCTAGGAACCAACGGGAAGTTGCTGTATCTGATCCTAAGGGCAATGAGAGCCCCGGTGAGTTTTAAAGAGGGGAGTAATGTGGTCAAATTTGAGCTTGAGAAAAATTATTAGGCTTGGGCTCATGCAGAAAGGCCTTGCTGGTGTTGAGGCAAGAGATAATACACATGGAGGAGGGTGGCGGCAATGAAGATGGAAGCAAACAGGCCACTACCTGGGAAAGCCAATCCGCAGGATTTGGAGACTGTTTGAATGTGAATGGGGATGGAGAGAGTATGTACTCGCAGATGTCTGGTCTGAACAATAGGATGGAGGTTGGTGTCATTCTCGATAGAGGACTGCTGAAGGAGTGGCCAGGGTTTGTTGTTGTTCTGTTTTGTTTTTTACTTGGGGGACAACATTTTCCTGTGAATTAGCTTTCCTCTGGATCTATTCCCAAATCCTAGACTAGGGCTTTGCATGAGGAAGACCTATGGATGCGGGAAGCATTGAGGCTCACGGCTAAGGGCTAGAAGAAAAGGGGAAAGTGCCAATACCTGGAAGAGAGGACTTGGTACCAGGTCCTGTTTGCTGGCTGTGTCTTGGAGGCTGGAATAGAAGCACTGGAGAGATATTAAACCAACATTCTCCATCTGTCCATTTAGGAAATGCCATCTGAGCCAGCAGCCAGACCCTGCCTGGCAGGTAGCATGAGGCCTGTTCCCTGGCACAGAAGCCGGAAAGCCAGTGGAAGTAGAGAGGAGTTCCACCGTCCTGGAGCTTGGCTGTCACAGGTAGGAAGGCACCAAGTCAGGTGAAAGGAGTGGGAGTCAGAAAATTGCTCCCCAACTCTGGACCTGGGGAAGAATCTTGGCTCTGGTTCCTTGAGAGGAAATGAGCCAAAAGTTTCCAGAAGTAGTTCTCAAACACAGAGAATTTGCAGAATGCCCTATGGGCCCTGATGGAACCCACTAAAAAGCATCCCCAGGGAATATCTCATAACTCAATGTTAGAGGCAAATAATATTACAGTACCATGGGGGCATCAGAGTTAGCAGGAAACTGAGCCCAGAGAGGGGAGCCATCTAATCTAAAGCCACACTCAGACTCTGACTAAAGATCCTGAATCTCCACTTCTAGGAAACTTTTCTTGATGCCTGCAAGCTGAGTTGAGTGACTCCTGTTTTGCACTAAAAAACACAGGCATTTTTCTATCTGCACTTCCCAACTCTGTTGTAATTATCTGTCTGTCTTTCCCACTAGAGGACGAGGTTTTGGACAACAAGGGGGTGTGCTTCATTCTTCTTTATATCCCAAGTGCTTCTCCCAGTGCCTGGCATAGAGTGAGCTTTTAATACATGTTTGTGGGATGAACAGATGAATGAATGGGTGAATGGACTAATTACTTAATTAATCTCAACCAAAACCCTTAGCAAACCTCTACCAGGGGGTTATACGGGTTGGAGTGACATTGTTAAGAGTTGTGCTTTAAGTTAACGGGCTCTCTTATAGTTAGGGTTAAGTAAGCTTAGCCCTTATATTTCCACTCATATGAACCTTATTTAATTTCACTCTTCAACTGCCATGATGTTCAGTGTCCTTAATAGAACTTCAGGCCATAATCCTAGCTGCAAACTCAATCTCATTTCTAGCTTGGATGAAAACATAAAACATAACCCTCTAAACCAGTTCTGATACTAAATGGATCCATTGAGTGGGTGGTTTTAGGTCTTCAAGGAAGCACTGAGGAATGTTAAAAGCCAAGAAACTCTGGCCTTGGGGACAGAATCCAAGAAAACTAAAACCGAGAGCCAAAGGAAGATGAGAGACTTCTCCCTTTTCCTCAGTGTCCCTTGCTTCCTGCTCACTCGATTCTCTGCTTTCCAGACTCTTACAGAAGACTAGAGTCACATAATGGTCAGAGCCATTTAGGTATCAGGAGTGTCTTTGCTGAAAAAAAGCATTTGGAATGAGACTGGGGTACAGGGGTGGGAAAGATGGAGTTAGTAAGAAACATAGGTGAATCCTAACCTGAGTGGCCTGGGTTCTAGTCCCAGGTCTACTGTGCCTTCCCTTGCGACCTTTGACAGACCATTTTGCCACCTCTAAGGGGAATGGACTTCATGCTGTCTCCAGTTGTGCAGCTTCCCATCTGAGTTATTAATTCATTATTACTGTCTCCATTTTTTCCAAAAAGTCTATTTCCCACTGCCCTCCCCCCCACACACATACCCACTCCCCATCTCAAGGCCTCTGCCTGAGTGGCTGAACGCTAACACTCTTCTCCTTTTATCTGAACAGGTCTCCTCAACCAGGCTACTCATTGGAAGCAGGGATCTTCCAATCCCCGTGATTCAGGCAATGAGATATTCATTAAACCTAATAAGAGATAACTGGTTCATTTAGTACAAATTGCCCTCCCCCCAACACTTCCCCTGCCATACTGGAGCTGGCATATGAAGCAATGGAAAGGGAAGGGCTGAAAATGGGTGGTGTGGAATGGATCCCAGTCATTCGCAGGCAATGCTGGCACACGGTAGATATATACACTGGGAGCCTATCTTTGCCAAGGTCATTCTTTCTAAGTCCCTGCCTCTGAGCAGCTTCAACCCATCCAAAACATTTCTCCCTAAATATTTTGGATACTTCTCAGTAGACAGTCCTTTATGGTGGCTAGCGTCTAGTCTTTCTTGTTCAATAGCAGCACTGCTTCTTAAGTGTCCTCTGACACCCATGCCCCATCCATGGAGCCTGACCTCCTTCGTCTACCACCTTCCCCTTCTGTAGGAGGCCTAAGATGGCCACTTAACCTCACTACTGTCCCCGATGCCTAGTCTCTGTTGCGCGTCTTACTGGCATCCTCATATCTTAATGTATCAGGGATCTGGGCCTCCTTGGAATATCTTCTTCGCTCTGCACAGATGTCAGAGCGGGTGAACAACTATCATTTCAACCACTGAGATCCCTGTTCCTTGGCAAGATACCAAGCATAGGTGGCAAAACTGAGATGAGGAAACGCCAGTCCCCAGGCCCAGAATTCTTCTTCACTTTTTTTACAGGACCAGATACTCTTTACAGAGAGGCCAGCCTATCTGGACCCAGGCTCAGGGCCCCCTGGCCACTAAGGAGAGGTCTGGGGCACTTTGACTGATGCTGTCTTTCCTCTTGCCCCACTCTCCCCTCACAGTGCAGATTAGAGACTTTTTCTACTGCCATATGGCAGTCCCTTACCCCTGCCCTTTTTCTTGTACATCTCAAAAGCTGGGCATCTTAAGGAAAAGGAGCACAAGAGAAATAAACTGGTATAGCAGCAGGAAATCTCAAGGCTGAATATCTGGAAGGACTTACGCAGTTACCTGGGCTGGGAGATACAAAAGTGGAGAAGGGATGAAGAGCCCCCTTTGCTGGGAGGACTTTTGAAGAAGGGGTACGTCTCTCACTGTCACTTCTCTGGGCTATAGTCTGCAACAGGGAAGAGACAAGGTGACCTCTGGTGATCCCTTACCCTTGGGACGCGAGGTTTCCTTTAGCGTCAGGATTATTTTCCAAGCTGAGAATAAGGATCTCACCCTTTCTCTCCTCTGTCTCTGGTAAGCAGCAGGGACACAATACTCCACCTCTCTAGGGGGAAAAAGGACAATTTATAGAATTGTTCTGCTGCTCTTAGCCCTCGTTGAGACAAAGAATACATTTCTGTCTCTCAAGGTGGCTTCTCCTGCTGATGGTCATAAATTGCCTTCCTGCTCACTCCCTGACCTCTTGATCTTTGTGCTTTTGTGCTCAAAAATTATTAATATTTCTCTTAACTCCATATATAACCTTTGGCTGTTTCTCTCCTTTTTTCCAGGTGAAGTAGCATCCTTAGGGATTACTTCCTCCGCCTCCGCGCCTGCCTGCTTCTGTCGGGGGCAGGGCTCTGTGCATGAGGATGAAGACAAATCCACAGGAGGAAGATTCAAAAGATCTCTGTTTGGGAAAGCTCCAAAACTGAAAAATAATCACAGCTAGCATTTACTGAGCATATGCTGTATGCCTAGTATTGTTCTAAGGGCTATACGGATATGAACTCAATCCTCACAACTACTCCATAACATAAGTACTATTATTATCCCTGTTTTCATATCAAAGAAACAAGAGCTAGAGAGGTTAGCCACATAAAATGTCTAAGGTCACACAGAAAGGAAGGGGAAGAACCTAGATTTGAATCCCTGTCTTGTTTCAGGGCCCATGTGCTTTGCTGTCAACTACTCTGCCAGGTACCTCTCTGATAGGGAAAGGCTTACCCAGCTTTTGCTCTGCCCTCAGGGAGTTCCAGAATGGTGTGACATGCATATGCCTTGCCCCACAAGAATCCCCAAGTTTGATAGGGGAGGCAGATATCCTGTCCTAGGAAGATATGTCCAGTCTGATGGAAAAGACACAAGCTTTATCTTTGGATCATCTGACTGATACTAGGGACTCAGTCCCAGGATGTCTACAGTTTGATGAGTTATGTTATTAGATTCTAAGAGACTCAGTTAATTTGACTAGACCAAATTGTGAGCATTAGTGTTAAAGAGATGAGGATGGAGCAAAGTTGGGGCAGCTTAATTGGGGTTGCCCCCAGGAGGGGAGGGTGATACAAGATTGGCAATAAGCAGAAGAAATGCTAGTGGAGATAAGAGGGCAGGACACTTGTGTGGTGTGCAGGCTTGCTGAAGACAATGTCTGGAAAGCAGGAGTTTGCTTAGTTTAGCAGCTCTCTACTTTGGCTGTCTACTAGAATCACCTGGGGCTATGTCTAAAAATACTGATGCTTGAACTTCACCCCAGAATGATTAATCTTTAGGGATGAGGGAATGGCACTGGTGTTTTTAAAAAGCCCTCAGGGCAGGGCATGGTGGCTCATGCCTGTAACCCCAGCACTTTGGGAGGCCGAGGCGGGTGGATCACCTGAGGTCAGGAGTTCCAGACCAGCCTGGCCAAGATGGCAAAATGCTGCCTCTACTAAAAATGCAAAAACTAGCCAGGCATGGTGGCACACACCTATAATCTCAGCTACTTGGGAGGCTGAGGCAGGAGAATCTCTTGAACCCGGGAGGTGGAGGTTACAGTGAGCTGAGATCATGCCATGGCACTCCAGCCCAGGTGACAGATCTAAACACCAACTCAAAAAATTAAAGAATACTAATAATAAAATTAAAATTAAAGGAGATGCTGTGCACAACTGGTGTTGAGGACCACTAGCTGCGGATGAGGTCTATGGGGTCTTAAGCTCTAAGATCTGGGATGCTGGATGACTTATGTGGAAGAGATTCTAGAGACGTGAGTTTGCTATGGACTGAGCTGGTGAGGATTTGGAATTAAAGGAAAGGGGGAGAGAAAAGGGAAGCTAAAGGACCAGAGGAGACAGGCCAGATTGTTGTTTTGGCTCTTAGTGAGCTAGAGAAACTTGGCTCCTCTGTTTCTAGGGTTTCGAGGTAAAATAAAAGGTCCACAAAAATCCAAAAGCTCTGAGAACCCAGTCCCTTCTCATAAAAAGAATAGCTATCAAGCCTGATATGGGACGTGGAGATTAGGCAGGAAGCACTGAGCTAAGAATATTCCCTTCCCTCAATTAAAGACTTTTTTTTTTTTTTTTAATTAATGCTCTCCTAGGCCAAGTGTGGTGGCTCATACCTGTAATTCCAGTACTTTGGGAAGCCGAGGCAGGCGAATCACTTGAGGTCAGCAGTTCAAGACCAGCCTGGTCAGTTCAAGAGCAGCAGTTCAAGTCACTCTTGCCTTCCCCTCCATGCACTATTATGCGGAGTGGAAAGGAGAAAAGGCTGTCTCGCTAACATGTCCAGAGCTCCCTACCTCAGGGTCTTTGCTTTTGCTGCTACCATCTGCCTGCTGCATTCTTCCCTCAGACACCTGAGCAGCTGAACCCTCAGTTCCTTCAGGTCTGTGCCCAAATGTGGCTTTAGCAGAACAGCTTAGCTTTCTTTGACTACCTGTAAGAACAGTAATTCCTCCTTCTCTCCCTCTCCCTAATCTTTTATCCTGCTTTATTTGTCTCCCATAGCATTTACCATAACCTAGTGTATTTCATATTTTTTCTACTGCCTCTCACTTTCCTCCAGAATGGAACATTAATGAAGGACTTTGTCCTTTTTTTTTTTATTATTGTCTCCCCAAAGCCTAGAATGGTGACTGGAAAATATCAGTCTGGAACTGAAGAAATATCTGTGGAATGTATGATTAATGAATGAACAAATGAAAAGCCCTATGTGTCTGTGTGTTGGTGTCTATCTGTGTATGTTCGGGATTGCAGTCCTATTTCTCTGGTCAAGGTATGGCTCTATTCTTAAACTGTGTTTGCCTGTGTTTTGGAACATATGAAGAATTCTCTGGGTCTGTGCATGTGGGGCTTCCGCATATGAACTTGGGTGTTTTCCTGCCTTTCTCTGTCCTCTAGTTGTGTGTAGATGTGTCTGGACCACAGACTGATGTTAGGATCTGCGGAGGAAAGAGGAGCTGTGGCTGTTACACATCAACAGAGGGCACCAGAGAGCCACGCACCTACTTTCAGGGTCAGAAATTAAGAAATCTTGGCGGGGAGTGTTAGAGACCCAGGAGATCTGGGATCTGAGAGGAAAGAAGTGGAGACCTCTTTGGACCAACACATTATCGTAAAATTGTGCAATTCCTGCAACTCCTCTGTTCATTCCCAGGGTCCAGACCTCTAGGCGCCCCCAGCCACCCTGTGAGCAGAAGTATCTGGTCACGGATGAGAGGAGGAGCTGGTTGCCAAACTGGGCCCTTAAGAAAGCGGAGATCCCTCCTGAATGCTCTCACGATTCTCAGGAATTCCCTCCCTTCCTAGTTCCTCCATGTCCCTACCCTAAAAAATCTCAAACCCCAGAGTGCTTACAGATCTTCTGGTGGCTGTCTTCTCCTCTGGCTTGCATTCAGGGAGGTGAGGCCAAGCCTTGGCCCTTCAAAGCCATCCAGTTGGCTACCTTCTCCTTCGGGGTGGGTGGAAGGCTAAGATGAACAAAGAAAGGAGTCAACTGTGCCTCTTCCAGGCCGTTAAGTCCTCCAACGCCTAGCCGTGCTAGACCTTGACTGGGTGAAGCCAAGGCAGGTCAAAGAGGCAGCTCCCATTCACCAGCTCGGGCTTTTGTAGGTGGGGAGAGGCATACATGCCCCTCCCCTCTCCAAGCATTCATTAGTCAATTGAGAATTCTTAATCTGGGGAATCTAGGGGTTAGGCTTTGGGTGTGGAATTTAAAAAGAAAGGTCTTTATGTTTATTTAACTCCCTGCCCCCCACCCCACTCCTAGACACACACACGGAAACACACTCTCTCTCTCTCTCTCTCTCTCTCTCTCCCCCCCCCCCCCCCCCATCACATCCTCTGAGCTAGAGGCTGATGTCCCTCAGCCCATGTTCCTCCTTCACTGCTTAGTTCCATAGCCGGCGACCAAGATTGCGTCTATAAATGGGAGGGGGTGGGGTGGCCAGGGGTCCTGTTGTGCCTGCCCCAGAACCCACGACGGTCACGTTTTTCACCCCCTTTTGCCTTTGCCCTCAATTCCTTTCTCACTTTGCTCTCCTTCCATCTCAGTTCCAGCGAGGGGTGTGCATGTGTGCCCGCGCGTTGGGAGGGGGGGGCAGGGGGAGGGCTCGTGGAGGGAGGTGCCGTCGGAGGGAGAGTAGACGTCAGGCGGAGGGAGGGAGGGAGAGAGGCAGGCAGGGAGGCAGGGAGGGAGAGAGGGAAGGAAGAGAAGGGGAGAGAATGGGGGAGTAAAGACCGAAAGAGACCCAGAGAGATAAAGCTTGAGAGGAGAAATAATTAAACGGGGAGGGCGACCAGAACGAGAAAAAGGACGGGGAGGAAAGAGAGATAAAGAGAATCGGAGGGCAGGGAAGTGAGTTTGTGCGCGTGAGTGTGTGCGCGCGCGCGTGTGTGTGCAGGGGCGGGCGCGGGCGGGCGGGGGGCGGGCTCCAGGGCTCCCCTCCTCCCCAGCCCGCTCCTCTGGCTCGCTCGCCAACTCCGGGCCCCAGCCGCGGGCGGGCGCACGGCGGGCGGACAGCATGCTGAGCCTCCTCGTCTGGATCCTCACTCTCTCCGATACTTTCTCCCAAGGTAAGGGCCCCCAGCCCGCCCCCGGACGCTCGGCTTCCCCCCGGGGCCAGAGCACTGCTCCCCGCTAGGGGAGTGCTGGGGTGCCCGGCGGCCCGCGGCCAGTCCCTGGGTCCGGACGCCACGAGGCGGGGGCTCGGTCCGGGCTCAGAGCCCTGGGGGAGGGGGCGCGGAGTAACGGGGTCTGGGGAGAATGAGTTTGCCGTTGATTTGCCCAACTTGTTTCCTCTGGCTGCGCGGGAGAACCGAGCATTGGGGCCGCGAGGGCTGGAGGTCCGAGTGAAACCGGGAACCGAACGCTTTCTCTCGCAGCCCTACAGTCCCTCGTCCTCTGAGGCCGGGGTTCCGGACGCTTGAGTCCAGGCTAAGGGGAAGGCTGGAATTTCGAATTTCGGGCTAGGGGGTGAGCGAAAAGCTGAGTCCCACCTCCCGAAGATGTTGCTAAGGGGATTCCCCCTACTTCAGCCCAGCCCCTCGGGGGTCTGAGTCTGAACCACGACTCCAGACTGCCTGGGGCTGCCCCCTCTAGAGGAAGGGAGGGGTGTCTCGGCGCCTCTAGTGGGGATTTGGAACCCCTACCCGCGGAGGCTCTGGGTGGACAGTGGAGTTCCAAATACAGCTTCAGGCCCGCTTGATACAGTGGGGGGAACTCACGGGGGCGGGGGCGGAGGCGGTGGGGGGAGGGGGCTGACACGCTACTTGGGCTCAGAAAAGTGTTGCTGTCTGGGGCTTATTTGGAACTGGCAGGGGAGAGGCTGGGAGATGAGGGAGGTGGTTGAGAGAGATGAGGATGTCAGTGTATCCTGGGCAGGGCTGGGGTTGGGGGAGGGAAGAGGGCTGAGGGAATCAAGGGTCCAGACTGCAGCAGGGACTGGGGTCTGTGGGAGTTGGTTCTTGCCTCCCAGGTCTGACTCTAAGGAAGATTGAATCCTGCTGAACTCCTTCCCTCCCCAAAAATGGAGCTGACACACAGAAATTGACACACAAACACGGTAAAACATTCACAGACACTGAGACAGACTACTCACCTACTGAGACAGAGACATCCCCACAAACATCCTCCACACTGAGACAGACACATATACACAAAGACACTGAGACATCTGAGGAAGACATTCCTCCCCCAGATCGGCACACACACACGCATTCATCCACCCGAACATTACAAGTATACACAGTACATGTATGCAGGCGTTTACAAGGACAGGACACACGCTCGCACGGAAACCAACCCTCTAGCAAACAAAGAAACTTGAACATTCATATGAGCAGACACCTATGGAGATGTACAGACTGCACATGGAGGAGGTGGTCTCTTTTAGGGGGTGTCTGGGAATGGATCTGGGTAGAACAGCCTCAGGCATTATTGCCTTGCTCTGTGTTCCCTTCCTGCGTTTGTAGGTGGGGTGTTATGCTGGACCTTTCCTCTCCTTGCCAGGTCTCTTCCCAGCTCCGAAGGCAAAGCCTGGCTGCGTTGGTGGGGGCAGGTCTTGATTCATCTCTCCCCACAGGGCACCCATGCCCGCCCCCCAGCACACACTATGATATAAGGGCACACATCTGTGGTGTGAGCCAAGAGTGGGAGGTGGTGCTAAGGGAAAGGAGGAGGCCTGGCCCTGGGGTTGGCAGGCCAGGCCAGCCACTTGGCAGAAAGTTGGGAAGATGACTTAAGTTGACTTTGTTCAGCCAGGCTGTTGGTGTCGGGGAGGAAGGGGGTGGGCCATGGTGGTGGTGGAGGGGGGTCATGTTGGTGGTGGAGGGGGCCCCTGGGTCAGTATTGGTCTATGTTAGGGGCAAGCTTATGTCTGCCCCTTTCTTACAGCCTTACGTGTCAGCAACGTGGATACAAATGAGTGTTAAGGAACAAAAGCAGCAGTTAGCAAACAGGAGAGACATGTGGAGTGAATTGGAGACAGAAAGAAGTGTGTGTTGTGTGCCTTTCTCTCTTTGGAAAGGAGCGAGTGGCTAGGGAATGCTGAGCTCCCACTTCTCAGCTCCAACAAGGGTGAAAGCAGGACCTGGTGAAAGTATCTGGGGTGGGGGGAGAGGATACCAGAGAAAAGAAAGGGAGAGACTAGACAGGAGGGGAGGGGAAATCACTAGTGAGTGTTGGGGGAAGCTTGGCAAGGGACTGGGGAGGAGTCAGAGAGGGAAGGAGAAGGGATCTGGGGAGACTGGGACACACGTGGGGGTGGAGTGCTTGGCAGGACCCCCTTTCCTTAGCCTCCATCCTCAGAAAGGAGTTCTAGGTCAGGGACTGGGGCAGGGAGAGAAGAAACGGAGGGGGGCGCTACAAGAGGGAGGAGGGATGATGGTGGGGAAATGGGGGTGGGGGAGTAGGTGTCAGCAGGAAGCCATAGAATTGAGGGGAGCAGAGAGGAGAGGGGAAGGGGAGATACAGCCTAGGCTGAGAAATAAAAATCGCATTTTAAAGAATTTCAATGGGCTTCATCAATCTTCATTTTTCACTAAATAATTTTCTGTATCTTATCTAAATGAAAACCATTATCCTTCCCCCCGTTTCCATCATGCGCCGGCTCCACAGACTGATTGCGCCGAAAATTGAAATATTTATTCATTTTCTGGGAGATTTTCTCGCTCCCTAGTCTCGGGGAGGAGAAATTGAAAAAGAAAGATTATAGCTAATCAGAGCAATGTGGGATGACAGGCCGGCTCGGGGCGGGAGCTGCCTCCAGAGGGGGGATGGATGTGGGGGCAGGAGAAAAATAAGCCCATCCAGCCCCCAGAGCTCCCCCTGGAATTCCTGCCACAGCTTTTGAGGGGAGTAAAGGGTAAAGGGAAGAGGCCCGAGGGCCTCCTAAATTCCCAGGATTCAACTCCCTGAGTACAGCTGAATCCTGGCAGAGAACAGCAGGTCTGGAGAGTAGCTGGACTCTCCCCTCCCGGTGCTACACATAGACACATATACACACTTTAGATGTTCCATTTCTTTCCAGAGCAGGGCACTGAGGTTGGGGAAGAGTCAGGGGAGACATGGCAGAAACCAGGACACTGGGTTCCTCTCCTTGACCTTGATTGGACTCCACTTTCTGCCATCTACTCAGACCCAAAGGGAGGGTGTGAACCGAGTACTCAGTGCCTCAGCCCTGGGCCCCAGAGCACCTGCTCAGGAGGAGGAGGAGGAGGCGGCGGCACCCCGGCCTTCTTGCCTCTGCTCCTTCCCACAGGTGAGTGGTTGGTTGTTCTGGCTCTGCATTTGGTGCTCCAGTGAGATGGGAGGAGGAAGCCCCACCTCTGCCCCCCTTACTCCTCTAGGACCTCTTTACATCCTTGCAGGGACTAAGTCTTAATTTCTTTTATCCTATAGTTTCTGGCACAGTGCTAAGCATGTGGTAAGTGCCCCTTAAATATTTGATCAATTGATTGATTTGATGAGCGTGCTGCAGTGCTGGAAAGAGGCAGCATTCAATGGCGATTAAATCACAGACTCGCATCCAGCTCCCACCTCCACCATTTGGTAGTCGTAAGCTTGAACAAGTCATGTACCTTCTCTGTGCCTCAGCATGCTCTTCCAGAAGTGAGGATAGAAGTAATACCTCATAGGGTTGTGGTGGCACTTGAATATGTTAATCCACGTAAAGTACATGGAACTGTGTCTGGCACAGTGAGAAGTGCTCAGTAAATGCTTGCTATCTTGACTTTGAGGTGAGACATAGATAGATAGGCAACCAAGTTGTCTGCGCTTCTTTTTCTTCTCCTTATGATTCTTTGTGTTGTGTGTGTGTGTGTGTGTGTGCGTGTGTTTTCTAGCCCCAGCTGTCCAGATTCTTGGTCCTGGGCTTCAGTAAGCGCCATCTTTGTATCTCTCATGGAAAGAACTGTGTTGTGGCAGACCCAGAAGGGGAAACTGACCCCCTCCTTGGAGACCTCAGAAAAGATCTGGGGAAGGGATTTGAGGAGAGAGAGCAAAAGTGGAGGATGGCATTTGAGTGAGAAGGAACCAGAACTCTTGTGTGAAATGAGGAGGGACACTAGCCCCGAGGTGGCAGCATTTCAGAGTCTGGAAACAATATGGATCATTTATTGAACCCTGTGTTAACTACTTCATATGCATTATCTAATTTAATCTATTCTACAGCCCACTGAGATTGGCTTTGTAAATTGTCCCCATTTCACGCATGAGAAACTGAGATTTATTTATTTATTTTTAGATAGGGT